AGCTCAGGAGTTCGAGACCAGCCTGAGCAAGAGCGAGACCCTGTCTCTACTCAAAATAGAAAGAAATTGGCCAAACAACTAAAAATAGAAAAATTAGCCGGACATGGTGGCACGTGCCTGTAGTCTCAGCTACCTGGGAGACTGAGGCAGGAGGATTGCTTGAGCCCAGGAGTTTGAGGTTGCTGTGAGCTAGGCTGACGCCACGGCACTCTAGCCCAGGCAAGAGAGGAGTGAGACTCTGTCTCAAAAAAAAAAAAAAAAGAAAGCATTTCTTTATTCTTCCTCTCATTTAAATCCATTTTATTAATTTTAGATTTTATGATTTATTATTTTCTATTTATTACATTATATTGTTTTGTTATTGTATTCGTTAATAATGAAGGCATTTAAAGTCACAGAAAAGCCAGGCTCAGTGTCCCATGCCTGTGGTCCTGGCTACTAGAGAAGTTAATGCACTGAGATCATTTGAGCCCAGGAGTTTGCATCCAGCCAGGGCAACAGATTGAGACCTCAGTCTCTAAAATAAATAATACACACACACACACACACACATACACACACATATATAAACACACATACATACACATATATACATATTCACATATATACACATGTATGTATACACACACACGATAAAAAATGAGAAATGAGACATAACCATAGACACGGAAAGATTAGAAAAATTATAAAAGAATGCTACATGTAACATTATTGCAACAAATTTAAAAACCTAGAGGAAATGAATCATATCCTAGTAAAATAAAAGTTTTCAGAATTTGTTCAAAAGAAGAGAAAAACTGGAATAGGAAATTAAGGAGAAATTGGAAAAATAAATAAAGGCCTATATGCCCCTAAAAAGGTTAGGAGCATGATGATTTCACAACTGAGCTCTATCTTACTTTTAAAGAACACGTAAATCCAATTTTATTTACACTATTCTTTTCATAGAAATAAATTTTCCTAACTCATTTTCTTATTCCAGTATAAATGAAACTTCAAGCATGTCAAGGTAGTATCCAAGAAGAAAAATGAAGAAAAAACAAAAGGAAAGAAAATTATACTCTGGTCTCATATGGATTCTGCCTTTGCTTTGTTCTTATGGGTTTTAGTATCATATTTTCTAGAGTTTTTGGCTTTATTCCAGAGAGTTCACATTTCTTTAAACCTAGCATTATCTAAAAGTATGTTAATTAATTTTCAGGTAATTAAGACTTATTAGTCACCTTTTAAAATTGTATTTCTAACTTTATTGGTTCAATTTTTTAAAAAATAGCCGTTTCAATTTTCTACTTGAAAATTTTTGTTCAAGTATGATTTGAGGCCAAATAATTTTTGAATCTATCATAGACATTGAATGTTTTTTATTTAATTGACAGGAGATTTTTTTATATGACTATCAATCAAATTGAAGTACATTATTCAATTTCTCTATGTCCTTGCTTATTTTTTGTTTATAAGCCACATTGCTTTAAAAGAATTTTCTTCTATTTCAAGTTTTAATTACCCCAGGAAAAATAGTTCTATCTGCTTAAAATTTTTCAAATGACCCTCCAAATTATCTTATTTTTTTCTCCTTTCAAATACTCTTCATTTTTAGCCTATAAAAAAAAGGGAAAAAAAACCCCTACAGAATAGTATCTTGTCAGTGGTGTCTTTAAGAATGTCTTAGTCTGGTTTCTTCATGCAGGAATATTTAGTTTTTTCTTCGATTTACATTTTTAAAAAATCCTTTAAGCTGTCTTATTTCCCTCTTCTAGTCAATGGTGTAGCATACAGAAGAATTCATATGTAGATACATATATATGCAGCCATATTGTGTATTCTTCAACACAGACCATTTCGTTTTAAAGGAACTGTGTCACTTTCCTTAGAGTATAACATTAAAAATACATTAAAGCAGAATTTAGTAATGATTTTACCCATTTGGTAATCATTTTTATTTTCTGGTAATAAAATTCCACCCTTGTTTAGTAAGATCAAATTTGAAAAACAATTAATAATAATAATAATCACAAAACAAAACTAACAATATCAGATACATTAATCTCAAACAAAAAATTTAAAACTTCTTTAAAATATTAAAATGCACTTATGAATCTAGAAATCTCTCTGCATATTGTGAACAATATGCTAAGATCCAACATTACTGCTTAATGATTCCATGCCTTTCATGTAGACTTGTCAGGAGCTTTTGTTGGTTCCAACTTTTATTGACCTACATACAAGGTCACTATAATTTGGGCTTCAGTAAGATTCTGAGACAACTTATATTTAATCTAAGGTAAAGTATTTAAGCTGATTGTAATGAGGTATGACAACCATATTGACTAATCTACAAAGAAGAATATGTCATTGCAATAGTAATGGGACAAGCCACCCAATTAATTCGTAGCAAATTGGACAGATTGCTTTGGAAGTCTTCCAAGAGAGAAAGCACTTCTGGTGCTTTGCTTCAAGAGCGTGGCAGACCAAATTTTTTAATCAGCTTTGGTCGGAAAAATTTGATTTTTCATTTTTAAATTTTATGTGCCAGAATCCAGTCTACAGCAGAGACAGAATTGCAAGATATAGAAAGTAAGTTGTTTATGTGAAAAGTATGAGTCTAGTATCTCTGATGATCGTCATGATTTTTGAGGAAGCTCTTTCAGTGTTTCTTCTACCTGTGAATTGTAATGGAAATACTATAACTTTACAATTTATAAAATATTTTCAAAATTCCTTTGATCCTTGCAACAATTCCCAAGATATTATCTTCTCCATATTATAGTGAGGAGATTGAAGTCCAGGAACATCAAATATGCTCCTCCCAGAGTGAATGCACCACCAGAGGTCTACTTGCAAGTCCATCTCTCACTTTACATCGCTGCCAGCAGAGCAATAGTGTTCACCTCTCTGCTACCACATGATAACTTATCTGTTGAACTCGCCTTTTCCATGTGCTGGTGTAGAAACAATAAAGAACTTAGACATGGCAAAAATATTAACCTTTGCCTAAATTTTTATTTCTTTCAGTGCCTGACCTTGTAGTAGGAAAAAACAGAGCCAATCGATTTTGAGTTAAAAGATCTCTTGAAGTTCTAAACAATCAAGTAGATGCTTTCTCCCCCATTAGATTGGGGTACTGATGTAGAGTGTGGGAATTATCTGCTTATTTTAAGCCTATGCTGAACTCATACACAATTCAGGAGGGAATCTGACCCTCCTTATTTTATCTCAAAATACTTCAAGGTCCTATTTAGTTTGAAAAATTAAGTAACGTGATGTCAAATTAAGTTTCCTATTTTGTTTCTTGGTTCCTGCTGCAGCACCTTTCAATTCTAGTTTCTTAATCATGTTCTCTTAAATATCATGTAAATATAGAAAATATAACAAAACGACCCCTAAAACAAATCTCACCCAAAGCATATTACATTATGTAGCTTATTACCTCTGCTCTTCACAATAATGTGTCAAAATCCCAAATTTCACTGAGAAGGAAAGATGGATTTTGTTTTCTAATCTCTAGAAGAGGGTTTCAGATGTCAGTAGAAAATTCCTCTCTCCATCTCCAGAGGAAGCTAATCAGGGAAAAACGTGTGCTGTAGCACAGGCATTAATCCCCAGCTGGGTCACGAGGCTGTTATGAGGTGTAACTAATCGTATTGTTGTGATTCATCTTGGTCTGTAACAACACGCTCCACAGTGACATCAGAGTTGTATGAGATGGATGTTGCATGTAAAGAAAAAATACTGTTGTTCAGCGAATATCTGCAAGCCTGTGTGTGACACAGTGACAGTTTTCAGTGATGCAGCTACTGTTTTTCCACAATAACACATCTGCCATATCCTGTCATCACTCTGTTTCTGAAAACTGTCTCAAGCAGTCATCATGGGGCAATTTCAGACTCACAGGTTGTAACAAGAACTTACTTCTCAAAAATGCCCTCTGCCAAGATGCACTGCAATTGTCTACTCAAGTCTACTTTAGGACTGAGTCCAGAAGTTAAAAAAAGAAAGAAAAAAGGATCCTTACACTGGTAAATTATTTTACTGACAATGTTAATTCAGATTGTTGTTTACAAATTTTTCATATTCAGAATTGATTCTTCCAACAGCATTATCTCTATAGAAGAGGTATATTGTGACCTCTTTCTACATGTAAAATGAATAATGCCCATAAACTTTGATTATCCACTAACAGATAATTGACAGAATACAAAGAGCAACCAGACTGGACTAGTCAAAGGCCTCAGGGGTGGCCCTGATTTAGAGACCGACTCTATTTCCAGGAACAGAGTGTTTCTGGGTTTCAAACCAGAGGGCTCAACCTCTAAAGGTCCATTTCTGCTTTAAAATTGTATACCCTTTTAAAAAATATCTATTCAAAAGCTTTTTGTCATGCTTTTCTGCTAATTTAAAAATTCCTTAAGAGGCAAGAAGTAAGGGTAGAAATTTTGAAAACATTTTTATGTTTTGAATTTTAAAATGTATAATTTAGCAAGCATTTTAAATTTTAGAAAGTAAATGTTTTACATTTTCAAAGTAAGTAAAATAACAGAAAAGACCAATAAAGTGCGTTTTAGAAGAACACAAGTTAGATGTATGTACCACATAGCCAGCATGAAACATTTACTTACGTTGAGAATCAGAATTTACTCAGAATATCCTGGTTGCAGTAGCAAAAAGGGGAAATAGTGGACTATACTTTCATTGTCTAATTTTGCTTTCATAGGAACTGTGCAAATTTTTCTGTAGAAATAATTATTTTCTGGACACAAATACTTCTAACCTGATAAGCACTCAGATGTTAATTGAAACATTTTCAAAAGTACACTGGTATATATTAGAGAAATACAATTTGATAAGAGAAAAAGTCATTCTGTATAACCAATTAGTATGTCCGTAAGTCCAAACAATATAGAAAGCATTCACAAGTTTGCCTATGCTATGCTTTCTTTTCTCAGTGGTAAAGAGTATTGCAATACTTTCTTTTAATTAATATTTCTAATTTTATTTTTTAGAATGACAAATCCCCAGGGCGATCTGCAAGTCGATCAAGTAACATTTCAAAAGTAGGTGAAATATATTCATTTTCTTGTTTATTTATTTATTCATTTCATGGGTTCAAGTAAATATTAATAATATTCAACCTATAATTATTATCTGTGTAGTACACAAATGTGATTTGTTAATGGTTTTAACTGTTTCAAGCATATACTGTCATAAAAAAACATGATCTCACACAACAAAGTAAGTTAGTCTATTTTTCCCTTCAGCGCTATGTGCAGGAGATAATTTGCTACTTTCAGAATGTAATGTAAAGTGTGTTTTTTCTTTCATTTCAAACACCATAGAGATGCCACATACCCAAGTTGAAACTATATCAACATTCGTGGTACAATTCCCACGAATTTAATTTTTCAGGAGTTTGAGTCCAACTCTATTGGAATTTAACTATTCTTGTCACCAGGGCAGGTTTTAGAAATAAATTTAATATAAAATATTAGGTTGGTCTGTTAGAGCCGGTTCCCCTCGGCCCCAGGAACAGAGAGGCAGAGTCACCGAGGCTGCAAATGGCAAAGGAGTTTATTGGCTAGCTCGAGCTAGGGTCCAAGTCCCAGAGCACCAATGCAGTGGCCTCCCTATGAACCAGGACCCCGCCCTGGGGTAAAAGTGAAGCTTTTATACTTTCTTTTGCACACGACACACCGGTGGCACACGACACGCAGGTTCCACACGACACGCTGGGAACACCATTCCCCCTCCCCCCTTAGTCCACTGGTTCCTTTGAAAGTGGCTGGTTGTTTTGACTCCTGATTGGTTGGCTCTAAGCCCCAGGATTTTCAATTTTCGCGCCGGCGCCAGTTGACCAAGAATGCTGGTCAACAACAGCCGCAATGCTGGCCTAGAACAGCTGCAATGCCCTGATATGGTGAGCTGGTGGTATGTTTTCTTCTGATCAGCTCTCTTCTGTTTGTGGTTTTTGTGGTTATTCCTGGTATCTCTACTTCACACTCCCGGCACTGGGCATTATGCTGAGGCACAACCTGTCATGGAGTTACTCCTGCTCTTACTCCTGTATTTAACAAACAACTAAAAGCAAATGCGGTTACAGAAGCAAATGGCATTAGTTAGAATCAAAAAGAATGCATTCATAAAAAAAACAAAGTACAACAAAGCACAACAAAGCACATTCTCCTACTATTAATTCCTGTCTTTCAGGTCATATTTAGGTTATTGAGTCAGTGTATGAAAAAACAAAATATTCTCTAGACTGTCTATAAATAGAAGTAAGACACCACAGTGTTGAAAAGATCATGACTTGAGAGATATACTCTAGATTTTTATTTTGCCTAGAAAACAAAATGCAAGAGCTATTCTCCAAAATGCTGCTCTATGTGACATATAGACATGGTGCTTGGGAAGTGAAAAGTAATTTAGAGCCATTTGTCAAAATGGAAAATTATGACTTTCAAAAATATAATCAGGATCAAGAAGGATTTGCCAAGGATGAAACTTCCATTTCAGGGCCTCTCACTTACCGGGGCCCTTCCATGTTCCTGAACTTAACTTTGTATTGGTAATTTTATATTTTCCTTGAAGAGGGTCCCCAAAATAGTAATAAACATCAGGCATCGTAGAAACTAACATTTTTAATAGACAGTAAGTATGCCTGCCTGTTCCTCCATAGAGAGACCATATCTCTGTCTTGCAACATCATCCACTATACAAACATCCTTCAAAAGAAGTCCAAAGCAAAAGTAGTCAATACTTTTGCTTGTTAGATGTACAGAGACACAAGAGATGTATAAAGAATTGTATCTCAGTACGTGGTGCTGTACAGTTCAAATTACATTCAAATTTGGTTCCCTTCAGAGATATTTGAGAGGCAACATGGCCTACTGGTTGAGAGTGCTAACTCTGGAGAGTGAGAATCTGAGTTTAAGTCACTGCTCTGTCACTTCCTACTTATGTGACCCAGAGATACACACTTTTTTTGTTTTGAGACAGAGTCTCGCTCTGTCGCCCAGACTAGAATGTCGTGGCATCATCGTAGCTCACAGCAGCGTCAAACGCCTGGGCTCAAGCTATCTTCCTGCCTCAGCCTCCCGAGTAGCTGGGAATACAGGTACACGCCACCAAGCCTGGCTAATTTTTTTATTTTTAGTAGAGACGGGGGGTCTCACTGTTGCTCAGGCTAGTCTTGAACTCCTGACCTCAAGTGATCCTTCCGCCTCAGCCTCCCAGAATGCTAGGATTACAGGCATGAGGCACGAAGCCGGCAGAAACATTCACTTAACCTCCCTGAAAAATAATTGCCTCGTCTATCACACTGGGATGATGATAATACCAGTCACCTGAAGGAGGTTTTCTTAAGTAGTTGCAAATTGAAACAATGCCTTTCGAATGTCTATCATCCTACTTTCCTAATAAAGAGCCTTGCCCACAGCCACAGAACATTGTCATCTTTCTGAATTTAAATATTAATATTGAATAAGTAACAACCTAAAAACTTATAAACAATACTAACAACTTCTTTGTCACATCAAATATTGTTTCACCATCTAGGGGTAAAATTACATCTGCATTTCTAAACTGTTCTTTGAGTTTGACATAATGCAGCTTGTTTGTAACTTTTAGCCTTCTAATTTATTTTTTAAGAAATAAAAAAATTCGAGAGTGTGGTTTCCCTTCTATGAGTTCTTCTTCCAGGTTCTGAGCTGTATTAATTATATTCCTGTGTGGGAGACAATTAATTATAAAAATGCATCCTATTCACAGAGAAATGAAAAGTTGTCTTCTTAAACATCACTTTAATTGTACCACAAAAAAAAACAACTCAACTATCAGACAGTGGTAGGAATAAACTGATTTCAGTGCACAGACATTTATTTATTTAAGCCAGTATAACTTTCCTTTTATTTATGTTCAGAATGACAGTTGTAAATGATGAACACATTGAGTCCTCACTACTTTTTCATGAATTACTAAGTGATAAACTATTTATTAAGACCACATAACTTACCAAATATGAAATGGTAAAAATCTAGAAATACTTAAGTTCTTTAATTTTTAAAATGTTGGAAAAGAAAATATAAAAAGTAGAGCAGACAGGTTTTTTCTCTAATCTTATCAAAATAATTTTTATGTCAAAGAAAGACTGTGAACTTTTCAAGAATGTAACAATCAGTATGATGGGGTGATTAAGAGCGTGTATACCAGCATAACTGCTTAGGAAGGTTATTTGACTTCCTTAATTAAGCTTATCTGTAAAGGAAGAACATATTACAGTATCTACCTCTTGGAGTGGTGCTTAGAACAGTGTTTGGCCCTGTGTAAGTATTAGCTATTTTTATTATGGAGTTCTTAATATTTATATCTCAGTGACAGCATCAAATAAGTGTTCAGTAAATCTTTTTTCAAGCCAGTGAATTTTGAGACATGGTCTTTAATATACGCTTTGTTTCCTAAGAATAAGAATAAATTACAAAATCAACAGGATTATGAAATATCTTAGTGAACTGAGTGCAGGGAGTTAGCTACACTCCCAGCAAAAAATCGGGTCCCCTAGGCAGGGGTTGTCACAAAGGATAAGAAAATAATAGCAAATGGAAAATAATAGAAATAAAAGAATACACAGAGACAAAGGTATGGTTTTATAGGTTTATAAAGACAAAAGGCAAAGCGAGAGTACTTGGGGGTCCCCACAATATCCCCGTCAATTGTAAGGCCTGTAATAAAGTTTCACGTGGGTATTTATAGGTACAGAGATTGGTTGCCAAGGGTAACAGATTTACATAATAAAAGGTAGTTTGTTTTAGGTTAAAAGTCTTTGAAAAGGCTTCTATAGATCCCTTAATTAAGTCTGGTTACAAAATCTTTCAACGACAAACTTCTAAGTTCTAAGATAAAGCTATCACTTAGCAGAAGGGTTAAACAGAGATACAGTGGCTCCATATTTCTTTATCTAGTTATTGCAGATAGAGACAGGCGATCAGAAGTCAAGCAGAAACTGTCCCTTGGGCTAATTGTTTTTAGCCGCAGGTATCTGTCTCTCGGGCAGACACTCTTTGATCAGCTCTCATCCCGTGATTCCATGCAGACCTCGCTTTGTCCTTCAAAGCAGGCGAGAACCAGGAGTTTGAGACTACAGCGTCACCTTGGAAAGCAGCTGCTACTGACCTTTGAGATGCCCTCCTAAGGTGGAGCAGCTTTTGATATGCAAACTAACACGTTCACATATTCCTTCAGGGCAAAGTCCTGCAAAACTCCTGAGATCATTTCTGTCTCTAATACAGTAATATTAATTTATGGAGTGACATTGATGTTGTTTTATTGGAAAAATACTGCATTTTCCTGTTTCCTTAAAAAGTATACTTATTTTTAACAATAATATATTACTTTATATCAAAAATAGTATTATTCATAAGGGGTGTCTTCCTCATCTTTTATCCATTTGTGCCATCCCCTGTCCTTTGAGACAGAGGATTCTATCCAGGATGGGATGGCATACCTGTCCTTCCTATTGTTAAGTCTGCTGCCCCACCTATTTCTTGCAGCTCCTTACTGAATCAGCAGACCTTCTAATCATCACTATTTGTGAATGTCTCACATTAGGAATCTTGTTCTTTACTGGGAATGATGGAGTAAAGAAAAAATCCTTAACCAGTTCTCAGCAAGCTTGTACTGAGAGAGTCGAGATAAGATATAGATATAGATATAGACATAGATATAGACAGATATATAGATATAGTAGAACTACATAACTACCTGTGCACAAAAGAGTTAACATAACAGGTTGGGACTCCTTTTCTTAGAAAAGCATTCTGGCAAGATTAGCCCTTGTCTGGCATCTGGGATCTTAGATTCTGGAAGTGGAGCACCACCCTACCTGGTAAGAATAATTCAGTATGTTTGAACTTCAAACAATATAGCCATCCTAGACACTTGCTTTCCTTCTGGAGTCTGCAATTTTGGTACATGTGGGTGCCTACACAACCAGCCCCCAACAAAATCTTTGAGCTCTGAGTCCTAATGAGCATCCCTGGTAGGCAATGCTCTGCACATGTTG